TCTATATATATATATATCTATATATATATATATATATATATATCTATATATCTATATATATATCTATATATATATATATATATCTATATATAATTACGGGAACCACTCAGTATTTTAAGAAAATACAAAATAACAGTAACTCCGAATAACATTTTGATTTTTAATCGACGTTTCGACTAGTTTGTAGTCATCCTCAGGATTAATAATAGTGTAAAATTACAGATGCAGCTATTATAAAGCCAGAAAGGCGGAGCTTAAATGCCAGTTAATGAAATATGAGAAGTTCTTTGGAAGCTTTCGCACCGTGGTTGAGATCAGGTTTTCGTCTGCGTATAGCAAGAGAATTTTCGCTGATAAAACCAAATTTACCAAACTTAACTCTGATCCAACCCTAACCCAACTAACAACCCTCCAAAATTACCTACGAACTGTTTATAATCGTGGAGAAATCACAGGTGATGTATACTCGGAAGTACAACCTCAATCTACTAAACCAGCCCGAGCTCATGGTCTTCCTAAAACCCATAAAGATTTTGATACCTTACCACCATTCCGTCCCATCATTGATACCACCGGTACTGCGTATCAACCGATTGCCAAGTACCAGTAGTAATATAGGTACCGATCGATCCGGATTTTTGGGGCGGCGCGGGGCGGCGCATCATTATATATGCAGGTAATTACTATGCAAGGGGGCGGCGCATCATTATATATGCAAGTAATTATTATGTAAGGGGCGGCGTATGCAAGTAATTAAGAGGGGCCGCACAAGTGAGGGTGCGTAGTGACGTCACGCGGGCAGGATCAGGTAAGTAATGACGTCACGCGGGCCTGTTCGGGCGAAATTGAACAAAACTTGCTGACTACGCATTTTTTAGCGTTCTCCCCACGTGTGTGATACAATAATTAGGGCTATATACAAGAGAATATGTTGTTGTTTGGAGTTTTCATTGCACAGCTATAACATTTTGCTGTTATTGTCAAGTGATTTCTTTAATTTAGCTCCTAGAGGAGTAAAAAATCTGATACTATATGAAATAGCATTAGTGTTATATATCTAAAACTTATATATTCGAGGTATACAGCTAAATGTTTTGTTGTTAAGTAATATATAAATATTATCAAGCGTCAAAACGCTGAGAAATAGCATGCGGAAAGATTTGTCATGTATCTACAATTAAAATAATATTTTTATCCCAGTCTGCCACATGAGGTCTATATACGAGAGAATATGTTGCTGTCTAGGGTTATATAAACACATGGAAATTAGAGGTTATGATATATAATTGTCAAGCGATTTCTATATTTTATTGCTAGTTTTTTTTAAAGTACTAAAACTCGGATAAGATTAATAAATTTAAGCTATATTGAAGCACACCGGTTGCTATGCGTTGTCAGGGTGACACTAATTAAAGGATTAACTTTTATCAGATATTTGCATTTTTCTACTGTGTGGATAAATACGGGTAGATTAGGATATTAATTGCGCGGGCGTCGCGGGTTATCCGTGCGGGAAGAGAGGAAGCGATTTAGACAAGACAGGAGCGCTTTGCAGCCAAAAGCTTACACAAGAATTCAGTCTTAAAATATATTTATTTCTTCGAGATGTTTACAAAGTTAATGTGGTCTACTTCTTAGAGCATAATGTGTTTGATTTTATTTAAATTACGCAGAACAATTTAAATTTTTTTTTTGTAATAAGAGTCGTTTGGTTTAATTATTCATTCGCCATGGTTTCTTTAACAAAGGTTCGGACCGTTGGCTCGTCTTCGTGCAGATTCACCCACTTCATACGACCCGATTGGCTCATTATTTTGACAGGCCAATAATTTTCTCCGCCGATGTAGACACCTGGATGGCTAGGATTAAAAATATTGCGCGATGACTTATACATCTCTGTGATAACATATCCTTCGGGAATGCTACGGACCACCTGTGCATCCTTGGTGTAGTTTTGCCATTCGGAGATAGTTGCATCCGACCAAGAAATATGCCTCTGATGTTTAGATTGTTTCCTTCTAGGTTTGGTTTCGACCGGTGTGGGCTCGATACTAGTACTGTTCACTGTAGTTTGGGTGGCGAAGAGATAAACAC